GAGCCAAATGTACATGCAACAAAGTTCTACAAATTGTTAGAAGATGCTGAGACAGAACTTTATTCTGGTTGTAAAAAAATTTCGAAGTTGTATTTTATTGTTAGACTACTTCACTTGAAGTGTCTTAACCATTGGAGCAACAAATCGATGGATGCATTATTGAGCTTCTTCAAAGAAGTTCTTCCCGAGGGGTCATTTGTACCTAATTCTTTCTATGAAGCAAAGAAAGTTCTTTGTGACCTCGGCTTAGGGTACACTAAAATAGATGCATGTCGAAATGATTGTATTTTATATTGGCGTGATTATGCCGATGTCCAAGCATGTCCTAAATGTGGTAAGTCTAGATGGAAGTCCAAAGAACACGGAGGCAAGAAAGTAGCTCATAAAATCTTGCGGCATTTTCCAATCAAACCAAGGCTTCAAAGATTGTACATGGCAAGAGAAACAGCTAAAAAAATAAGGTGGCACAAGGAGGGAAATGTTGATGATGGTGTCTTGCGACATCCATCTGACTCAATAACATGGAAATCCTTTGATGCAGAACATCTCACCTTTTCAGCTGAGTTAAGAAATGATCGATTAGGTTTGGCGAGTGACGGGTTCCAACCTTATGGGAACGTGAGTTCTAATCATAGCATTTGGTCAGTCATACTAGCTACGTATAACTTTCCACCATGGGATTGCATGAAAAATCCATATTTCATGATGACGCTTCTTATTTCGGGCCCCAAGTGTCCAGGCAATGATATTGATGTATATTTACAACCAATGATTGAAGAGTTGCAAGAATTATGGGTCGGGGTGGAGACTTATGATGCACACTCAAGATCTAATTTTTTGATGCGTGTGGCTATCATGTGGACGATCAATGACTTTCCTGCATATGGAAATCTTTCAGGATGGTCAACTAAAGGCAAGCTTGCATGCCCTTGTTGCCATAAAGATACACAATCAACTTCCTTGCGTAGTAAGTTGTGTTATATGGGTCATCGTCGCTTCCTTCCCATGGACCATCCATGGCGGAGAAGTAGGACATTATTTGATGGGAAAGTTGAAATGGGAGTTTCACCTAACCCTTTAACCAGTGATGAAGCACTTGTGCAATTACAAGCTTTGGGTAATGTGAGTTTTGGTAAAAGATAAAAGAGAAAGCGTGATGTTCATAGCAATGCTTACAATTGGAAGAAGAAAAGTATCTTTTTCCAATTGCCTTATTGGAAGAGTCTTATGTTACGACATAACCTTGATGTGATGCACATAGAAAGAAATGTGTCCGATAATATTTTATCAACTGTCATGAATAAGGTTGGTAAGACAAAAGACACATTGAAAAGTAGATATAACTTGATGGATCTTAGAATCAGACAAAGGTTGCTTCCTATTGAGGATGGGAATAATATTTTGTTACCTACAGCATGCTATGCATTATCCGCGGAAGAGAAGCTGAAGGTGTGCAATTGCTTAGCTAATCTGAAGGTTCCTGATGCATTTTTCTCAAACATTTCAAGGTGTGTCAACGTACAAGAAAAAAAGATACATGGATTGAAATGTCACGATCATCATGTATTGTTGCAAGACATTTTTCTAGTAGCTATACGTGGTTTTCTACCCAAGGAAGTGTGTGATCCAATTATAGCCTTAGGAAAGTTTTTTAAGAATATATACTCTTAGTGCTTGACGATTGAAGATCTTGATATCCTAGAGGCAGAAATTCCTGTTATTTTGACCAAACTTCAACTTGTTTTCCCTCCGGCTTTCTTTGATGTCATGGTTCATTTACCAATTCACTTGCCAAGTGAGGCAAAGCTTGGTGGACCAGCTCAATATCGGAATATGTATCCTATTGAGAGGTAATTTATTATTTAATAATTTTGATGCTATAGTTTTAGAATGACACACATTATATTAATAAGCCATTTTATATAGGTATCTATGAACACTTAAGTCATATGTTCGCAACAAAAATCGTCCAGAAGGTTTAATTGCAGAAGGTTATTTGGCAGAGGAAAGCCTCACATTTTGCTCACGATACTTGAACAATATCTCAACAAAGTTCAATAAACCAACTAGGAATGACGATGGATCTGTGTCAAATGATGAGATGTATATCTTTAAAAAAATGGGCAAACAAAGGGTGTCTAAGACGGCATCAGGCTATCTCATGATGAGTTTAAACAAGCATGTATGTATGTGCTTCAAAATTGTGAAGAGGTTTCGCATTTCATGGAGTAAGTCTCTTATTAACTTCAAGATAGTTTCACATTGAGATAATTTGAATCCGATTTATCTTAGCTAACTTAAAATGTAGGGAATATACAAGCGATATTGAAAGCCAAAGTTCAATGAGAGCTCATAAAAATAGGTTTCTTGATTGGTTTCGTGCACGTGTAGGTGCATGTCTACTCAAATAATAATATTGACATTAGTTTATTCATCCCATCATGTTATTGGTCATAACAATATTGTTCGTCTTTGTAGATATTTGTACTATCTGCACAAGGACGCGCAAATGATGAGCTCATAAGCTTAGTCGTCGGTCCTGCACCATTAGTACATCAATATTCAACATTTATGGTGAATGGATTTAGATTCCATACAAAAGAGCTTGCATTGAGAAGAAAAATGCAGAATAGTGGTGTCCTTGTGAGAGGAGATGATTCAAACTCTAATAAGGAGTATTATGGTGTATTAGAAGACATTTATGAGTTATCTTATGTGGGAAACAGAAAAGTTTACTTATTCAAGTGTCATTAGTGGGATGTGGCTCGCTTGGGAAGAGGATATAAGATTGACAAATATGGCTTTACAAGTGTGAATATTCGGTGTGCCTTGAATACAAATGAGCCATTTGTGTTGGCATCTCAGTTAGAACAAGTCTTTTACTTGGACGACATGGTCGATAATGATTGGCTTGTTGTTGTGAAGACAAATCCTCGTGACATTTTCAAAATTCCTGATAATGATGATAATTGTGTAGATATTGAAGATGAAGAATTACTGAATGAAGAAGTTTATCAACAAGAGGAAGCTGAATTTAATACTTTATGCACCAATGACCAAGAAAATATTGTTGAGGTGTCTCTACATAAGGATAATATTGAACCACAAAGTATTAACTACGATTATGCAAGTACACAAGCTGACAACGATGTGCATAATGAGGAAGATGATTTCATTAATGACAATCATATAGAAATATCAGAGAGTGAAGATAGTGAAGAAGAGTTATTTGATGATGATGATGATGGGGAGGACACTGATACATCCTCTTGAAGACTAAGAAGCAAAAGACGAATGATATAAATGTTACATCCTATTTTGAAAATTCTCTATATTTTTATCCATGACTTTATACTACCCCATGTATTTGTTTGGAACTGTCAATGAACCAAAAATTATTGATGCTTGAATCTTTATATTTCTTTTTTGATTCTATTCGTGATGCTTGTAGCTTTAGGTTGTATTGGTCTTCCATTGTATTGGTATAATGTACAGGTGGAGTAATGAATTGAGTTAAAAGAAGGGATCTGTTGTTCTATGTGCCTGCTAATTTGGGTGAAAAGGGTTGACCATCAACTAACAAACAGTAGAGCTTTCTTTACTTTAATATCTAGTGAGGCATGGACATATGTCCCCTTTCTATAGACATCTGAAGTTAGAAAGTAAGTGAATTAATATTTTCTCTATTCTGATCAATCATTTTCTTTTTATGTTTTATTGCAGGAAATGAGAGGAATTGGACGAGGAAGATGTGGGAGAGGCGGGACTAGCTATGGTCGTGAAAATTTTCAAGGACGTGGCAATTTTGGAGCGACGTCTCAGCCACACATACAGACCGGACGTGTATCTGATGCATCTGTAGAGATGGGACAACCAAGTAACCCGAGTCAAGGACCTTTACAGATCGGACGAGTATCTACTAACTCTCTCCAAATACCTTCTTTAGAAACACAATCATCACGAAATGTAGCAGAACCTGTGCATTGCTCTCCAGAGGCTGAAAATTGTGCAAGTTAATTTCTGTTTTTTGTTGTTTTGTGAAAATTATTTTTACCGATTGAGTGGAGCTACTAATGAACAATAGTATCCTTTTACTTCGCAGTTTCTTCCAGTAATAAAAAAAGAGGAAGAGGAAGAGGAAGAGGAAAATACAAATCTAAAAGTTTAGAGGTAAAAACTAAGTGTGGTGGCAAAATCAAAATTACTATTCCAGATGACATTGATAGAGTAGTAGGTTCTGGGGCTAGAGATATTGTTAATTACTGTAGTTTGATCATGAGGAGCACTATCTCGTTCCAAGATGGAAATTGGCAGAAAATAGTTTTGAAATACGGAGAAGTAATGTGGTTAAAGGTCAAGGTAATAAACTACTTTCAATATTGTATTGACTTTAAGTTGCAATGTTATTTATGTGGTTAGGATATTGAATATAATGTTACATTTATTGTCAGGATAAATTTGAAGTTTGCAGCGGGATGCGAGAACATAGGTTTCAGGCCTTTGTAATTAGCACTATGCAAAGGCTTTTTAGAGCATGGAAAGCTCGACTCAACATTATGTACTCTAAGTACAATACTAATGAAGAAAGATTATCTCATCGACCTGAAGATGTTGAGCTTGAGGACTGGAAATACCTAATACGATATTTTGGAAGTCCGGAATTTAAGGTATTAACTTAATACCTGAAGATTGTCTCTTTGAATGATGATTTATTAATCTGTTTACTTACAGGTTGCAAGTGAGAGGAACAAAAGAAATAGAGATCATCAAATAATTAAGCATACTTATGGTACAAAGTCTTTTGCAGAAGTAGAGGAATCTACGGTAAAAATATATTTAATCCCCTACTATCACATATGCTTCTTTGTTATTTACATATTTATATATTTGCTTATATATTTTTTTCCGTAACTATATTGTAGAGAAATCCTATTACTGGAGAATTGGACACACCAGATAAAGTTTGGGAGATCCAACATACACGCAAGGATGGTAGAGGCGAACTAGTGTGGTTGGATTCACAATCCCAACAAATTCATGTAATTATCTAAAAACACTTATAAATTTCTCTGTTTCTGTAAGTTTCATTTAATATGTTTTATTATGTTTTGATTTAAATGATTATGCATAAATGCAGGGTCAACTCCAGGAAGTTGTCGCTCAACAACAATCTGAGGATATCGAGCATCCCATGACTAGAGATGAGATTTTATCCTCCGTTGTTGGTGAGAGAACAGGCTATGTTCGTGGAAAAGGATACGGAAAGAAGCCTCCTAAAAAGAGTAACATTCAGCAGGCAAACATAGAGGCCAGCGTGTCTTCTGCTATTGATATTGTGCGTCAAGAGATGCAAGCCGAGATGGATAGGAAGTTGCAAGAAGAACGTGAACAAATGGCTTCTGAGTTGCGAAGAAATATGGAAATTGAGTTGGAAAGGAAGTTGGCAGAGGAGCGTCAACACGCAAATGAGGAGCGTCAACACGCAAATGCAGAAACAGACAAGAGGATCTCTCTAGAAGTGGAGAAGAAGATGCATGAACAATTTGCTAGTTTCTTGACCAGAATGCAACAACAACAACAGGTACTTGCTCCGCTCTTTCTTAACAATTCTTCTTCCTTCCTTAATTCTGTAGTGACTTCATGTTTAGGGGTTTAGTAACCACCAGGCATTGTGGTGTTCGCTATGATGGTAACCTTCTGATTTTGTTGTTGGACTGCCTTGGCTTCACATTGATTGTTGCCCTTTTGAGGTTGCCACTGAACTTTCTTTTTGGATCTATTGCTTCAATATAGATATGTTCATTTGCTTCAATAGAGATGATTACCAATCACTAAGTGCAGAAGCAATGGCAAAATCATCTGAAATATTCCTATTTTTGACACCAGTAACTTTGTGTTCAATTGGAAAGAACATATATAGCTCAAAATCAACTTAAATTTACTACTTCCATATTAAGGACCTATTATATATAAGTACTAGACCAGCTACCTGAAACAGGTAATAGTAATAACCATGTATTGAATTTCGATTATGGTCAATTTTTGTGTACCAATGTTTATTCTACGCAACACTCAAATTGGAAAAACTTGTTCAACGGTTGGACAATAGACTCTATNTGTGTACCAACGGTTATGGTCGATTTGGAAAAACTTGTTCAACGGTTGGACAATAGACTCTGTTTTTCTTAATATCTGAGTTGGAAGATGAAGCTGGCCTCTTTTGAACAAATTTTATTATGCTTTGCCTCTTGAATATATGCAGCTTAGGTCAATGTTTGATAAAATACGTAAAGCATGCAATTAGTTTATAGATTAAAAAGGGGACAGCCTCACCTAATTCTTGGATTCTCTTTCTTTTTGGATCTATTGCTTCAATATAGATATGTTCATTTGCTTCAATAGTAAGTCCACATGACTAGTCGATTAGCGTCCTCCCAAGTTCCTGCTTCTTCCTTCCATTTTCTAACTACAGAGAAATTGCTCAATGTTGAATGACATTAGGCAAAGTAACAATAAATATATTCAGCATTACATTCAAAATACTATTAGCAAGTCTATCTTTACAGTGAATGAGCAGGTTTAGCATATTGTCCAACTTCTTATATCCCAATCCACTGTAAACTAGTTTTATTTAAGTGCCTTGGAAGTGAGTAAATTCTTAGACAGTGTATACAGTTTTTTGGCTGAAGCTACATATATATAGTTTCTTTTTCTTGGTTCATAGAAAGCCTAGTTTATGATGTCTTCGTCTTTATGCTGCTTTGACTGATGATGTGCTTCATCTTCACTCCTTTCTATTGGATGATCATGTTGGTTCTCGTGTTTGTGTTGCGTTGGAGAAACAAAGTATAGTAGAAGTTCATTACAATCTTCACTTTCACACATAGCTGGCCTACATCTGTAAGGTCCATCGTATCGTGATAATCCTGAGATATGGAACTCAGTTATTCCTCCACTTAGAGCTGCTGAGACTGCCGTCATTATTGTTGTATAATTGCTCGAGTCATCTAGTGCTAGTATTGCATTAGGATATTCTTCAGAACATCTAGTGCTAGTATTGCATTAGCATTAAATAGTTAACCAAATCATGACAAAAGTAGTAGCGAACCTCATTGATACAGTTAGTAATATTCTTGAGAAGGTCGATGACTGATATTTTCTTCATTGTTGAAGTCTTTAATTTGTTGGTGCACAAATTTTATATATTAATGATGTCTTATAATGACCTCTATTTTGAGTAATTGAAGTGCGAGCAGCTATCTCTAGAATCTGCCCCAGTGAATCTTCCCTATATAAAAATACATTTTCTATTTTTGGAACCCATATACTAATGGAAATATGGAATAGGTAGTTTTACTTCTATAAGATAAATCTCAGCTTCCACCTATCTTACTGATAGAGTTTCAGTAGGCTTCCATATTTTGTTTACCTGATAGTGCATGTCCAAGAATGCAGTAAAAAAAATTTGAGATGAGTGTTCAGGCAGTTTTGGACTGTTTTGGTTGTTAATGCATATTAGTTATTTAAGTAGGTTCAGTGAATGGAAAAGTATAAGCACATGAAATTGGGTAATTAAGGCTAGGACAGGGGTAGAGCTTAAGTTAGAATAGACTTCTATTCCTCTCACTGTCCAATACCTCTACTTTATCCGGCTTTCGTGCAATTGTTGTATTCTCATTCTTTTACTGCGTGAAAACTTATGTTCTCACACTTGTGCCATTTCATTTCACAATTAAAATAGCATAGAACAAATTTACTTTATGTTATACTAATGTATTAGCTTGTACTTTATTCGTCTATTCATGTTTTTGGATATAACAAATCTCATTATGTTTCTTATATATATTACTTTTGTCTAGCAGGGACAGGGCACTTAGACAGTGGTATCGTTCAAGGATGGTGTGGAGCAAGGAGTAGTTACAAGGCACTTAATATTTTGTCTTTTTTGGGATATGTATATGCGCACAATTACAATGCACAATGAAGTGTCGGATAGTATATATATGTAATTGACTTTTTAGTAATGATAATATTTATAATATTCGGCTTGAGAAAT